AGCCTGCCGGGACCTTCCTGCCTCCCTCTCTCTGCCTTTGTTATCCAGGAAACAGTGATGTTTTCACTGAGAAGCTCAAAGTCATACTTTTCACTTTTTTTTTTCCCCCCTACTTTATTTCTTTTTCCAACACATTCGCGATGAGGCCAGGAGGTGTTTTCTTAAGGGAGGAGTCAAGCAGCCTGGGTAATGTATTTGTTTAAAATACTTACTTGTGAACATGTTGGCAAATTAAATGGAGATGTCTCGGCCACCTATTTTTACAGGTCACTGGCCACCTGAGGTCTGAATTGGGATGGTGGTTGCATAATGCAAAAGGAGGTTGCTAACTGGAAAATAAATGCTTTAAATGCTGGGGAATTCTCTTTTAATAGCTTACAGGAGTGACCTCAGCGTGGGATAGGGAGATGTTGAAAAGTATTTGGCAAAGACTTCTGGTAATGTCGAGTCTCCACAGGCGGTGGCTGGGTTCGCCGTACATCGGAACAACCAGCTGCTGCAGCTTCAACTGGGTGAAATCCCCTTGAACTGGGTGCTTTCCTACCTGAGGCCACGCAGAAGACATCTGTACCTGGCGAGACCATCAGGCTCAGACCAGCCCGTCCCTCACCCTCTCTGCCACCACCTTTGCTGTCCTGTTTTGCCTGGCATTGCCCCAGCAACCGACTGGGCACCGAAACCTCGTGGGCAGGAGCTGCGGCAGCAGCTGAGCCCGGCGATAGTGGGTCTGCGCCTGCTCCCCTGGAGCTGCCGGGGTGACTCGCTTTATCTTGCTCCGACATCCCTTCCCGGCACCGCAGGAATCAGGCCAAGCAGATGGCGACGGCACAAACACACACACGTACAGAGAGAAGCTCCGTGCACCTCGCTGCCAGGCTCGGGCTGCAACAACGTGAAGTTTCCAGCAACACCAGCCAGCAAAAGCAGGGCTTGAGCTGCCAGAGGTGCTCTTGGCTTTCCACGGAAACCTGCCCTCGGCCCCCTGCCCGCTCCCACGCGCTCCTGCCATCCCCGTGCAGGGCAGCAGCCCGGGGCATCGCCCACAGCTCCCCACGCCTTTTGGGGACTGACACCCCGGGTCTGCGGGGGGGGAGCTGCAGCAGAGGGGCTAAATAGGATTAAGGGCAGGTATGCAGCTCTCCAACTTTCACTTTCAGACCACTTACTAGAAACACTCACATTCCCAAACGTTACTGCATGGATTCATTCTTTCTTTCTTTCTTTCTTTCTTTCCTTTCTTTTTTTAAACCACGTTAAACTTGCATAGGAGGCCATTTAGAAAATAAATAAGAGTGCTGATAAAGAACTGATTGAACAACAGATGTGACCGTTATCAAGATATCTCTAAAAGCTGATACTTTCCTGAAAAGAGCATAAAATATGAAAAGGGAACAGCAGGCAGTTGAATGCACAGGCTATTCTTTATAAACAATTACCATTTATTACTAAATGTAAATAAAACGCCAGAAAGGCACCTAAACATAAGGCAATTAGCGTACTGTAAGATGGTAGGTAGCCAACAACATAAACCTGACATTTCCAGTTTCTCCATTGCAACATGGCAGCACTGGAGAGTATGTTTAGCAGTTACCTCTCTGTGTCTGCACGTAGTCGGAGTGCTCACAGCCTGCAGCCTTACAGAGCTGCCTTCCCCCGTCTGGAAGGCAGAAGTAGCTCCTTTACAACAGGAGATTAGTAGATACACAGACCACTCGTGGCTTTTATCTTTCTTGTAGGCTGAACAGAAATATAAACTGCAGAGAATTTATGCCTGATACAAAAAAAAGCTTATGCTAAAGAACGTGCTTAAAGTACCGAGGATATAAATATCAACATTTAATTTAGCGTGTGAAGTACTGTAATTTCTTAAAAGAAATGAGCACACAACTTTGCAAATCAGGCAAGTCACTATTTTGCTTTCAGCACCGCCCCGCTGGCAGCTTGCATGGGTGTATCTGCAACCGGACCGTGCTACA